GGCGGGAGCAAGAAGGAAAGCGCGGGTCCTGGCGCGTCCGGGTGGGTCCGGGTCCTCGTCCCGCCGGTCGGAGGACGAGTGACCTCTGTGGTCTGCAGAGGAGAAAGAGGAGCCCTGAGCTCTCCATGTGTGCACGCCTGGCATACAGGCGAATTCCCCAAAATGACGTGTATTACCCTCCTTTGCCTCCAAGGAGTCGGAGGCGCAAGAAGCCTGAAGGAAGCTCGCTGGCGGCGCAGGGGCAGTGACTGGCGTTGGCTGAGGCGGAACGTGAGCCATAGGTCTGCCCTTTACCCGATCCTGTTTCTTCACCGGAATCTGCATATCGCTCAGCGAGCGCCCAATAACCCTTTGACGTAGGGATCACTACCCTCGTTTTACAGACGAGAAACAAGTCTAGCCAGGCATGGTGGCCGACGCCTGTGATCCCAGCACTTTGGGAGGCTGAGGCAGGAGGGTCACAAATTGGAGCTCAGCCCAGGGACTTAGTGATTTAGCGAGACACTGTCTTCAAACAAACAAAAAGCTGAAAATTTCTAGGTAGAGTTCGGGTGAGGGAGACTGACTAGACTCTTTGGTTCTTTCCTACCTCAAGCCAACTTGTTTGTTTGAGACACTTCATAGCCCGGGTCTCCAACTAGAAGCAGTCCTTCTCTGTCTGAACCCCCAGACTTGGTGTGTATAGGCATGTGCCAGCACACTTGGGTCTAACCACTTTTTTCTTTTTTTTTTGGCACTGGGATTCGAACTCGGGACCTTGTGCTTGTGAGGCAGTTGCGGTGCCTGAGCTAAATCTCTAGCACCTGTTTTGTTTTGTTTTGTTTTTTTGGTACCAGCGATCAAACTCAGGTCCTTGGGATTGTGAGGCAGGCGGCAAAACCACTGAGCTAAATCCCTGAACTTTTCTTTTGTTTTTTTTAAAACAGAGTCTCACTAGACAGTTCAGGCTGTCCTTAACTCGCTATGTAGCCCAGGCTGGCCTTGAACTCACAGTCTTCCTCCTGCCTCAGCCTGCTGAGTATTGGGATGACAGGCATGTGCTACCACACCAGGCTCGGTTTTCACTTTTTAAAGGAAGCTTGTTACGGCTTCTCTGGTGCGTCTCAACTGGCGCCATCACTACTTCGCTTCCTTCCTTCTGAGGGTTATTTGAACACAGGCATGGAGATGCTGTGAGGATGCACCTGAGTGACTACTCTGACTAAAGAGCACACAGCACAGGACAGAGGGCTGATGCACCACCCAAGATGGCTGTGGCAGACATTGCGGGCTCCCAGGACCCTGTTACAGTAGGAACTGTGTGTGATTTTAAACTTGTGACCCAGCCGGGTGTTGTGGCACACGCCCGTAGGCTGAGACAGGTGGATCACAAGTTCCAGCACAGTCTGAGCAGTTTAGTGACATGAACCAGGATCTCTAGGAGAGGCCTGGGCATTCCAAGGAACATAGTAAAGCGGAACAGAAAAATTATCAAGTGAGGCTGAGAGCTACAGCTTTGAGGTTGAGCTATGTGGGAGGCCCCGGGTGCCATCAAGCAGGATGTAAGGGTACAGTTGGTGCTGGAAGTAAGAGGACAGAGTGAAGGCAGATTTCCTAAGACTCTGAGAAATTGGGCCAGGGATGTAGCTCAGTGCCTTCCTCGCAAGCACAATGTCCTGAGCTCCATTCCCTGTACCAAAAAAATAAAGAAAGTTAGGCTCCTTGAGGCAACCAAAAAAGCATTTAGCTTGGAAATGAGCTGAGCTTTGCACCTGGCTTACCTGTCCCATACCTACTACTCTTGTTTGTTTTTTGAGATAAGGTCTGGCAGTATCTCCTTGAACTGGAGGCAATGCTCCTGCCTCAGCCTCCCCATATTTGGAGATCACAGGTATACCGGGCCACTACACCAGGCATGCTCCATGCCACAGTCAGAAATCAATCTCTTTTGAAAAAGAACCCTTACTTACATTCTCATTTCCATCCACCCATCAGAAAACTTCGAAGTGGCTAGAGCTCAGCAGCTGAGGTGGCACATCTGCAATCTCAGCACTAGGGAGGCTGAGGCAGGAGGAAGACTTGAGTTCGAGGCCAGCCTGGGCTAGTGAGTTAAGGTCAGCCTGAACTGCCAAGTGAGATCCTGCCTCAAACCAAGCAAACAACTGGTTTGAGGTAGGAAGAAACGAAAGAGTCAAGTCAGTCTCCCACCGGACCTCTACCTAGAACAGTTTTCAGCTTTCTGTTTTTTTTGCATGTCTGTGCATTTTGTCATGGATGTGTGCCCCTCTTCTTCCCATAGGGACACTCATTTATCTTGCTTTATCCGCCCAGCAGTTTTGAATGGTGGAGAATATAAGGAGTCAAAGCAAAGTTAGACCTGAGAGAAAGGTGATTGGGTTAGGTATGAACATTGCTTTCTTGGGGTTTGTGCGTGTGTGTGTGTGTGTGTGTGTGTGTGTGTGTGTGTGAGAGAGAGAGAGAGAGAGAGAGAGAGAAAGAGAGAGAGAGAGTGTTTTGTTTTGTTGGTTCTCATTAAGTAGTTCAGGCTGGCTTTGAACTTGCAGTGCAGCCCAGGCTGGCCTTGAAATTGTAGTCATCCTCCTGCCTCAGCCTCTTGAGTGCTGGGATTACAGGCATGTGTGTACCAATTGCATCTTTTGGGAAGATCTCTCAAAATTCAGGGGCTTGGATGTCTGAGAGCCTCCAAATCGGATAGATCAGGGCGGGCTGGCGTCAGGCGCCCCATGGCTGGGGGAGGGTGCGCGCGCTCTCAGGCTGGGGGGAGGGGGCAGAGAGCTCAGCGGTCCGGGA